AAACATAATAGCTTCAAGCATAATAGCAGATCAAGATGCTGATCAAATTGACAAATAATGATAAACAAATCCAAGATTAAATATGTATCATAATCGTTTGTAGCTAATCCATTTTAAAGTAATGGATTTATAAAGCGTTATATTCTTTTCTAATATAATAATAGATCTATACATTTTATACAGATTTGTTACCTGATAAAATCTTTATCACTCACCGACCGATGTCACCCTAACCTCTCAGTACAGATTCGTGCAGTCTCCATTATATTTTACTGTATCTTCACTAACTGACTAATGGCTTGATCGCGGTCGAGAGTGGCTGCGCGTACCAATAAAAAAAGAAGGAAGATCGATTGATGCGCAACAATGGAGTTATCAGCTATGTGGTTACATGATTCTGTAATATACAAATACAAAGATTTTATTGTAAGATACAAATTAAAATAGTGTTTAAAATAATCAACAATTAAAAAACTAATTTGTATATACAATACATTAAATTTTTTAATAGGTTTTTAATTATATATCGATTAAAATAATTATACACTTTCTCAAAATTGTCTTTATGAGAATAAATTTTCGTAATGTTTTACATTAATTTTTTTTGTAATTATTATTTTTAATTACTGAAATAAAACAACCTAATGGGAAGAAATGACTAATTTTTTATGCAAGTAAGCAATAAGCTTGCTTACCACAAAGTTGATCCATTGCTTTTCCTGAGCTTCCTCTTCCTCTTCCTTCTCTTCTTCACAAAATTGTCAAGCCTGTTTTTCGCAAACCTCTCTTCTCTTCCCATTGTGACAGCATCTGTCAGTTGAAACAAATACAAGTAGTTTATTAAAATTAAATGCAGTTGCAAATAATTGCTAAGGATGCGCCCACAGTATTTGCAAATATCATTTATTCTTATTTGATATTTGATAAACAAGGATGAACTAATGTTTTACATCGTGTGAGCGTGAAAGCGAAACGTACTCTAAATATTATGCAATCATGTCATATTTTGTTTGTATAGTCGATATTAATTAGACGTAATGCATAGTTCACTACAGCAGAAAAATAAGAACGCAGGAAATTTGTCATGTTCAATACTCGCGATACTTTACAAATAAAATTTATACATCAGAATACATTTAAAATGGCGAAAGATTTCTGCACAGTTGACTTTATACGCGACATGCTATTCACATGCACGAGTATTGTGAAATACGTGCTCGAACGAATTATCCGCCTACTAGTGCCGAAACTATATTACACAAAAAATTATCAGATATTTTAATAATTAGATATAAAATTAATATAAATTTTATTTACCAATTCAATAAGTCGCAACAGCACTCATTTGGAGCCAACCATTTCGTATTCGTCGCATTCTGCAAATAAAACATAAACGCAATTAATATGTCGAAGTAATTTCGTCTCTCGCGTTATCAATTTCACACGCCAAGAGCAACACGTCGGCGACGTGCTGTCACGACACAGTGGCAATGCGCGTCTTTTTTTTTTTAGTGAACATTGAATCTATGATTGCGCGAACTAAATGTTGCAATAAACGAACAAATACAGGTTTAATATAAGTTTCAATTATCATTTGATCGATGCCAATCTCGTGTCTTAATTACATTTGCGCTTCATTTACAGATGAAAATGTGTAAATAAATCGTAGTTGTAATTCAGATTAAGAAGGCAAGAGACAGCTTTGTTTTTGCGCGTGTCAAAGGCGATGCGAACGACGCAGTGTTGTGACGCTGCACTTCTCGCTCTCGGCGTCACGTTCATGAATTTTCCGTATTTCGAAATATATCTGATGCTCGAAATGCGGAAATAACAATCATAAAGGGTAAGCATATATTATAATATACGCTCTTCTTTTATAATTATTATTTCCGTATTGCAGATTGATAGTCGAAAATCTCATTGTCAATTATTTAAGCGATATACTTTCGCGAAACAAGTTTTACGAAATACGCGGTCGAACGGATTATTAATATGCGATTACTGAATCTATAGTCACGCGATAGTTAAATATCGCGTATGAAAATATATATTTAACTTATTCAAGTTATTCAGGTATTATATAAATTTTAATTACCATATTTGTGTGTGATCGCGCGTTTCAACTTGTCTGAGAGCCAGTCCGTTCCGCCGTCAGTCATTCTCCATCCGCCGTATTTAGCGAATGAAATGTGAATGCGATCGAAATGGGGAAGCGACAGTCACTTGTTTTCCGTGTGCGGTTAACTTCACGCATAAAAAACGACGCGAGACGCGACAACACGACACGACGCCACATACTTTCAACTGAATAATCAGTGTGCTTGTACACTAGACTTTGCAATACACAATATTAACGCTGTTACGAAAAGTAAAGGCAAAGTTAATTATTGATTACCTTAGTAAAGAAATCCAACGATGAACGATCCTTTCGTGCCGTTTCTCGTCGTTTTATATTCTGAGAGATTCCGTTTTATTTACATTCAGCAGAGATTAGAATATAGAGAAAAAGTCACAATCGATTCGAAGACAGGGCCGTGAACTTTTCCAATGTCGTTTTACATTTAGCAGAGATTAGAATCTGGAGAAAAATCAATCGATTCGAAGACAGGGCTGCGAACAGCGAGATCTCTTTCAACGTTAATATGACAGGACACACCCCATCCCCTGCTCGAGTTGCGAAAGCCGTGGAACTGCAAATTACGCGCTATTTATATGAGCCGTCGAACGGCAAACCCCACCACTCGCATGCCAACCAATGAGCGCGATGCCTCATCGCTGCGAATGCTGATTGGTCCGCGTTAGCTTCCGAATATGGTATATAAATGCTGCACACAAAAAATTTCAGTCTTTCTCGGAATTTGAAGCCGTGCGTTTCATAAAGATCAAAAAGCTTGTACCCATTCGGTAAGCTTTTTTACGATGTAGCATGTATTTAGTACATAGTTTACGTTACGTATACTGTAGAATTTCAAACATAAAAGAGTATTTTGAATACGGACTAGAAATTATATTTTTTCCAAAAATTAAAAACCAATTAGACCAAATAAATGAAGGCTATCGAAAAAATTATATAAAAAAAAATCGAACTTATAAAATAATAAGCAATTATAAATTGTGAATCATTTAAACACCGCGCAAGTATAGAAATATATACTTATTACTTAAAGTTCTATAATAAAATTTTAAATCAAAATATTAATATAGCAATACTATTCCACTGAGTTTTTATTTTGTTAGGTACTAAATATATTATGATAATAATCATTACGCTCACTTGTGTATAAAATGGAAACGACATTAGGTTTTTTTGCATAATATATACGATATTATAAAATGGACTTAACGAAATTATATCGACGGCAGAGAGAAACCTGAGAGAGGACATATTATTGTGTAGTTAACATCCACTTCTTCAGAGGACGGTAGTGCGCGGCAGCATTTTGCAGTTTTACAAATCATGTCCTCTCTCAGATTTCTCTCTGCTTTCTCCATCACAACCGGAACGAGACTGTCAGCGACAGAAGCGCTACGAACTTTTGCGTTCGCTGCGGAATCCACAGTAAGTTGCAGAGATTTTACTCCTTTTTATTACTCCGATGATATATCAAGGAAAGGTTATCTGCTCCTTCCAAATTCTAACCTTTATAAAGTAACGGATACGTCGGATACGCGTGCCACGCTGAAACACGTTTGTGATGTTATCTTTAAATAATATTAAGTTGATTAATTTTGTAAAGTATTCTGCGTGGAAATTCTGTACAGATAATACGTATTGTCATTTAAGAACCTATCGCTATAGGTATAAACTAATGGCTCTCTTTTATTCGACGAAATGCGACATGAAAGAGAATGGAATTCAATCGTCTCTCGATCCCAAAGTCGAGGCACTACGAGAGAAATTGATATATTGCGACTATTTAGATTATCATAAGGTGAAACTAAGTTACATGAAGCGTCTCCTATGGGAGAAGAAAGCTAAGAATTTTGCAAATAAAGTACGAAATAATGAGCTTACAAACGTACCTGTCTACAGCGTACTTTTGGATGAGAGAAATGAAGAAAACGACGACAGTCACTTGGAACAAAAATATATAAATGCAGAAGAAGATACAACCAAACCTACCATACATATGCCATATGCGAGTATAGATTCATACAGTAATGTAGACACATTTTCTAAAATGGATGAACATACTTCTGATATAATGTCGTTGAACGACAAGTATATGACTCTATATGAAGAATATTTAATGGAGATGAATGAGAAAAAAGAAGAATTGAAAAAAAAAGAATTCAATTTACAGAAGTACTTAGGAGAAAGAGATACGTATGAGAAAGATTTTCCATCAAATGTTCCATCTAATTGGATGGTCGACGTTGAGCAATATGATGATGCTTTACAGGACAATACCTGGCCCGATGATTACGGAACTCCTGATCCAAACTCTAATATTAGTTCTGTACCATGTGGTGGATGTGGAGCTTTGTTGCATTGTAAGGATCCTGCTCTACCAGGTTACTTACCTTCACAGTTGTTTTATGCTTGTTGCCCGCCGCTCCAGGAACGTCGAGAATTGCGAGTTATGATTTGTAAAAGATGCCATTTTATGCATTATTATAACATCATGTTAGAAGTAAAAGTATCTGCGGACGAATACCCAAAGCTTTTAGAAGTGATAAAAACAAAAAAGTGTGCTGTCATTCTGATGGTCGATCTTACAGATTTTCCATGTAGCATATGGCCTGAAATAAATAGTGTGCTGCATCATATGACACCAGTATTCGTCGTAGGGAATAAAGTAGATTTGCTGCCTCAAGATTCGAAAGATTTTTTTACTCATGTTAAAGATTGTCTGTTGAAGGCTGTAGAAAGTACAAAAATCAAGAAGAAGAATATCAGACATGTAGAACTTATATCAGCGAAAACAGGCTATGGTATAGAAAAACTTATAAATAAGTTACATAACATCTGGAAATATAAAGGTAAGGATTCAACATTGATCATCTAGAATCTAGAAGAACATATGCTCCAAACATATTTTGTATTTATTATAATCATAATTTTTAGGAGACGTTTATGTTATCGGATGCACAAACGTTGGTAAATCCTCTCTATTCAATGCTCTTCTACAGTCCGATTATTGCAAAGTACAGGCTGTGGATCTTATACGACGTGCAACTATTTCTCCTTGGCCAGGCACAACATTGAATTTGTTGAAATTTCCTATTCTAAATCCTAAAAGAAACCGACTTTATTTGAGAACATTGCGATTAAAAACAGAACAGCAAGAAAAGTATGTTGAAGAAAAATATCGAAGCAGTCAATTCAAAATGACACGTAATTTAAAGTACGCCACATTGCAAGGTATGTATCGTATTTGGGTGTAAATTTCTCACAATCAAAACACATTTGTATATAAAATTGTATATAGTTGATAGAAAATTTTTAAATTTTTGTTAATATATGAAAATAAATGTTCTAAATTTAGATCATATAGGCAGAACATTTCAAAATAATTTATTGAGAAGAAAACCTAATAGGCAAATCGTATTTAATGAGAATCAGGAAATATATAAATTCAGCAACTGGTGTTATGATACTCCTGGCACCATTCAACCAGATCAGATATTGGATTTGCTGACAATGCAGGAACTTTTGTCGGTTTTACCGAAGAAAATAATCTCGCCTAGAACTTTCATTCTATATGTAAATCAAACGATATTTTTGGGTGGAATAGGAAGATTGGATTACGTAGAAGGCGATACTTTTATTAGGTACTTGTGCATATTTATGTGTGTGTAATTGCTAATTAAAACGTAATAAATTAAAAATGTCAAGTATTAAAAACAATTGTATATGTCGTAGGTGTACAATATTTTCAAGTAGCGAATTACCGATAACTGTAACTTATACTGAGGATGCGGATAATGTATACAACGAGTTACTTAAAACGGAAGCGTTTGTCGTACCTGAAAATAATCCAGACCGATTAAAACATTGGCCACCTTTAGTATCTAAGGAGATGGAAATTACTGGTGTTGGTCGGAACGAATCAATCTCCGACATTGTTTTATCTAGTGCGGGTAATTTTTCCTTTTAATAAATAAATTTATTTATTTGCATAGTGGCTTCTGATCTTATAATACATTTTAACAGACTGTTTCAGCGACAAAAATGGATCACGTGATTAAAACTGACAAATATCAAACGTTAATTTTAATCACGTGATTCTTTTTGTCGCAGAAACATTCTATTTGAACAGTTTGTGAAAATGTATCTTTACAATTGTGGTTTTATTATTGTTACAGGATGGATCGCAATTGCTGCTGAAAAAGCTGAGCGTGTTTTATTGAAAGCTTGGAATCCACAAGGTCGCGGCTTATACCTAAGAACACCGGCACTTTTGAGGAAATCTGTTACTCTACGTGGCAATCGAATTTCAGGTACACCGACATACAAAAGCGGACGTCAAGTATATAGCAAATAAATATTTTTTTTACACATGTATATTGTACATCTAAATGTATTCTCGCTTTACATATAAATTCCCTAACATTTATATATATACATGTATAATTAATTTATTCGCACATTCATTATCTATTTTTATTTCATAAAACTATAATAAAGAACAATATACTATATGTTTGTATCAATTACAATTGTCTTTGCAAAAATGCATATATGTGATAACAATTGAACAAGTATTAACACATACATGCTACGTCGATCCCAAAAACTTTTTAAAATATTTGATAGATCTGCTTTAGAGAATAAAACTGTATCTTTTGTGTGATTGACGATTCATTAATTATCCCGGTACTGAGCTTATTTCATTTAACTTTCCATTTACGCCACACAATTGAAGAGCTATTTTAGGACTAGCATGGCATAAAAGGAAAATTCGGTGTTGGTTCGGCAAAACGTTTAACATGTTAATACTCTTGTACGTAACATATATTTTAATCAATACTTTACTTAATCATAAAAAATCTTATTCTTTTATTAAATAAGATTACTTTGTTTAATATCACGGATACACACACACACACAAACAAAACAACTACTTTAGAATTTTGTAATATTTGTTATGGTCCACTTGCTGTTTTTTGAAATTTTTTTTATCAGTCAATTAATAAAATTTTTTTTTTTGATTGGTTAATCAAATGCTTCGAAGCATTTGTAGCGCTAGTTTGGATCCATAAATTAAGCATAAAAATCACGTTATAGAAAAACTTGAACAATAATAAGATTTTTCATATTAATCATCGGTCTCTCGTGCACGCATTTTCGCTTGCTTATACATTCTTTTGTAAAATTTTTCCAAATTTTTATAAAAGCTATGGCTCGGAGAATAATCTTGTATGTATTCGTATTTCGGATCGTATTCCTCAATACTGAAATAATATTTTCAAAAGTTAAACGTTGTATGTTGCAGAACGATCGGGAATCTTAATTACTTACTTGTTTGTCATTTTAGTAGTGTACCATTTTTCTTTAGTTTTCTGAAGATTTTCGATTTTAGATTGTAATCTGTAAAGACATATATGTATAATTAATATAGGTGTGCGCGCGAGCGCACATGCATGCGCGGGTGCGTAGATGTGTGTGAATGTGTATACCACCATTCATAAATTTGAGGATGCTTGCAGTTTTTTCACAAAAACTGAAATACTTCGATGAAAAGAAGTCTTATTGTTAGAAAAATTTTTGAAAATTTATTTTAAAGAGGAAAAATGTGCACGCATATTGTATATGCAGGGTGTTTCTTAAATAGCGAACACTAATCATAGCCTGATTAAAAATTAAGTCGAAAAGTCCTTTACTATTTTGCAATTTTTGCAATGATTGATGAAACATTAATTTCTAAAGATTGCCGAGTAAGTGATTGCTAAATCACATAATACTATTTCTGATAAAAAATTGAATCAAAAAAAGTCCTCTACCATTTTGCAATTTTCGTGATAGTTAATGGTTCGGCAGCCGGATACGCGTTTATTCGGCAATATTTAGAAATTAATATTTCGTCAACCATTGCGAAAAATTACAAAATTGTAGAGGACTTTTCGACTCAATTTTTAATTAGGAATAACGCTATATGATTAGTGTCTGCTATTTAAGAAACACCTTGTATATATGCATGTGTGTGTGTGTGTATATATATATGTATATAAATGTTGAAGAAATTAATTCATTTTTAGTGTACTCACAATGGCATTACCTCTTCCTCTTGCGTGTCGAATGCGTCGTTTCTCCAAATACAACCACATTCTCTGATATCAGACAAATTTCTGCAGTATCTTTGCTTATTGTCAGCATATTTCTTGATTATATCACAATCGTTGTTGGGAAAATAATAATTATACTTGAAACAAACTGGACAGTTGTTTGTAACGTGAGTATTATCACGTATGATGGTAGATTCGGCTAACTTTGGGAAATCTGGTCGACAAGTGTACATAGAATTTCTCCTTATTGAGTGATAACATTGATCACTTTGCGATCCTGTTTGATGACTCGTACATGAAGGACATTGATGAGAATCGCTCGATCTTTGACGAAACCTATTTATACATATAACATATATTTATATACCATTAATAACATGTAACATTAATAATAATGCTTACGGTCGACAGCTTTGAGATCTTGGTTTATTCTTAGTGTGACACACTCTTCGTTGTCTTATAATACCTTTAATCGGCCTTTTCCTCTGTCCACACATCGTTTGCTAAAATTTATATATAATATATAGGACCGATGTTACAGATTCGCTATTTTCAAGTAAATATAATATGAAGGAGAAGAAAATTATAAACGACATACAGAACAAAAAGTATTCGTACAAGAAAATTTTTTATAAAAAGTTTTATTTGTAAAAAATAAATATTAATTAGCTATTTTATACAATGAATATACTCTGTTCTAACATAAACAAACGAGCTTTGCATGTATTCCTGATTTTAGAAACTAAATTTCTCAACTGTATGAATACGTTTTGAGTATCTAAACAATAGTATTTTTAATTTTCGCTTATTTTTTAGATGATATATTTTTTATAATTAATACACATCTTTTTGGTATATATAATTTTAAGAAATATACAGTCTATTTTATTCTTTATGAATAAATTGTTAATTATCCAGCAAGAAATAATCGTCAATAAACGTCGAATTGGTGTTGAATCGTCAATATCGATTCGATATCAATTGGATGGCTCATTTCTCGCTGGATAATATTTAAATTTTTTAAAAATAAAGTTTTTTAAAAAATATTTTTTCTGTAACGAATACTTTTTGCACTCACTGTATGTATTTGTCGATTTCAATTTGTATCTATAAAGTATGATACCTTAGAGCTAATATTTGGATTGTTGACATAGTATTTGCTTGCGTCATAGAATTCCAAGATTTCTTCGATAACCGTTTTGGTGGAGACCTCGATTTTGGGTGCTATGATACCCTGAAGCAAAATAATCGTTTTGTCCAGTGAAAAGTTTTCTTACAATTAAATTGAACGATTAATAGGTAAAAAACTTACGGGAAAACATTTAGTCGGCTCCATTAGAAGGTCAACATCCACACCGGCTAATAAACCTTTGAAACATGGCACAGGATACAGCAAGTCTGCCAAATTTGTTTCAAACGTTGCCAAAGTAATACCTCGACTAGCCGGTATTGCCCACTGTATTAATTGCGCGTATAAAAATTCTTGCTCCAAAGTGTTTTGTAGCTCCGTCAAGGAAATTATTCCAACAAAGATTTTATCGAAAGTAAATTTCTCATGGAATAAGAGTGGAAGAATCGGGCTTATTGCGCGGGATTCCGCACAAGAATCAAGAGCATTGATTCGCAGAGCCACTTTGCCATTGGGACATAACCAAACGCCAGGACATGTTACCTAAAAATCGTGTAAATAAGAGTTGTAAAAATATAACAGAAAAATCACACATACGTACCGCGTGTACATCTAGTTGTACTTTAATGCGGAAAGCTTTCCCTGTCATCCCGCTCAACTATCTAATGACAATTTCATTAATTATTATATGATTAATAACATTGTTGCACAAATTTGTATACGTACGTTCAGATCACTTTAATAACTTCATAATGGATAATAGCAAAATATCAATTTTCGATTCGTACGCAGGTTAAATATCCGAGTCCAAATCTCACTTTTATTTGGACTTTGTTCGGTAAAAGAGCGTACACGTATACACTTTAAAGACCCATCTTGCGAAAGAGTTAGTACCACGGTATTTGTTGCCAAGGACGCCAGCGACACAACATCACTCGAATCAATGTATCGAATTTTATCAAGTTCAGCTAACTTTAGCGCCAAGTATTCAGCGATGGTGTTATCATTAAAAGATCTCTTTTCTAACGATATATTTATTAAAAAATTAAGTTAAACCGTCAATTATAAACGAATTTTATTTCCCTTTTTAATTTGTTTGAAATGTTTGTCAAACATTTATGTTTTAAATGGCACGCCAGAAAATCGTTTTTCCGGAAGACCTCTTTGCAATTTTCGACGTATAAGTTCATTCGTGATAAAATCCGATTGTTTTCTGGAGAAGCGTAATCTTGGGTCTTTCTTGTAAATGGGTATAAGCGATGCAGTGAACCAACCGTATCTATAAAAAAAATGATTTATAAAAAACTTATTAATTAGTTTTCATTACTATTTTATCGACTTACTCCATATTTACTGTCGGCGGTCTGAACGAATAAATGTCTGTAGGTATCATCTCTATCTGTCGTTTAATCAAGTTGATATCGTCCTCTCTAACGTCCGACGCAGAGAAAACATCGTGCTTCGCATAGAATTTGCCAGTTAACGGTTTTACACAAGTAGTAGGCACAAACGTTTCTCGCACATTTATAAATTTATTCTCTTTTGTGTATCTTTCTAAATAAAAGCGTAATTTTAGAGGATCTGTCAGCAAATTGGTCGCCATAAATTTGTTTAAGTTAAACTTTCTAGTTGTTGCAAATAACACGAGAGTTGTATTAAGCTATTATTTCGTAAACGAAGCAGAAAACTTGACTGTCAAATTTCAAGAACTATCATTCGCGTAATATCACGCGATTAAATAACGCTCGCATTCGTGTGAAGGGTAAAAAAAAGAGTAAACAGCTTAAAGACAAAATAGTTGAAGAGAGTACCGATATTTATTTTAAAATATGTATATATCAATAGAAAACACATACGTAACAAGCGGAAGACCGTGAGGCTGATCAGTCAAAAGTTTTTAGGCCTAATATAACATCGTTGTTTCTTTTCTCGCAATCTCGATCCAATTAGAAACTATTTTCATAAGTACATACATAATCAAACTTTCATATTTCTTCCTTCATGTCTTTCCGTTCCCTTTTCCCATTTATCTTCTCATACTATTCTCTGTTATTATTTCATATTTTATTCGTTGTATGTACATAGTCAAGTGACGGACGTAAAATAATGAAAGAGCAACGTAATAAACAAAGTGGGAGAAAAAAATAGTGAAAAGAATATAGATGGAAGAATTACGAAATCCCGACTGTATAAAGCGATACTTGCGTGAGGAACTAAAACGCGCCATTCGCGCCTTTTCTTTTACTAGTCTTTGGCTTATTGCACCCTAAAACGTCACGCTGCTTCGATTATCAACGATTCGTTGGTTATTAATTAACGTGACGCTATAGAATTATAGATAATCTTCTTGCTGCAGGCAACAGTATATTTGACAATTTACTCTTAAAGTATTTATATGTTTATACAAATTATTTTTATCCTCACACTACGAATATAATTATGACAAAAGATAAACAGATTTGATATACTTTTCCAATAAAAAAATAACACTTATCGTATGCAGTTTAAATTTATTAAGTTGACGCTTTGGAACGCAAACTAGACCGATAAAATAAATGGCAAGATTTTTTCGTATCTCGTCACTGCGATAATTCTAATAGGAGGCGCTACCAACGTTTATATTTATATTTCTATAAATATCAGAGACGAAATGCTCTCTTTAGCACGTGTTTACAGTCATAAGAAATAAGTCATATGCCAATTCAATTACATTTTTACACCAAAAGTTAAGATTCGTGCGATAAAAAATAAGTGAAATATTTTCTTTCATATTTCTTTGTAATTTTTGATGCAACATGAAAAAGAAGAAAAATAAATAAAAATTTCTGTGAGATGCATTTTTGTGTAACAAAGAATTTTGTATAACGAAATTCATCACTGGTTAAGATAGAATTAAACTCACGAAATAAGATTTTAAACCAGTATCTAAAACAGTAATTTTTAATTTTTAAGCGTATATTTTAATATAACGATGTCATATTAAATGTATATTCAATCATTTAATATTCATCGTTTCATTGTTATTGCCATCGCGACTATTTCATCGCTATGACGAAGAAGCGCGAGACATTTTGACGCGAATCTGTATTATAAAATCGTTGTAGTTTAAATATGTTCGACATGTCATCATTTTGCAAAATTCTATATTCTGTTTGAATTAAATAAATTCCGTTCGGTAACAAATGTATTCGATAGGCTATCCACAGCTGTCGAGGACGCTTCCCTTTTTTCGCTGAAGCGTTACACTATGTTTCTGAAAAAGAGAAATTCCTTGCATCAAAGACGAAGAATTGAAAAGAAATTGATTGAAGGCGATTTGTGAAATCGGCAATATGTAAAATCATCGATGTTGATGAATAATTAAAACGAAATCTTAGAGAATTCAATTTTATACATATCTTTATCAATTTTTTACTGTATATTTTCTCGTTATAATAACTTTTCTGCTCACCAAGCGACTTACTGTTCCCTTGAACGATTTCCGCATCCGTGTAGGTTCTTAGTTTATCGGCGCTAAATTGTTGTAATTCCAAATTGCCGTTGTGATTGCATCCGTTCTCGCATCTGCTCAAATAGATATCCAGCAACGGTGATCGGCAGGCGTCGCGTGGAGATAGATAGTCAGGATTGCTCGGTGACAAAATCTCCTCATAATATTCTACGCTCTTCGGTTCTAGACCACCAACGGTGGAGCCGTATTTCTTCGGCAAAGTGGTCGATGTGTTCCTACCACAGTAAGAAGAATCCGCTATGCCGTCACTCAGAAACGATCTCGACAGAGAACTCTTGCACGAGACTCCGCCAAGATCGTTGTCCGCAATGACGTCCGTGCTATGATACTTGGCACGAGAGGCGACAAGATCCAGCGTCGGGGACCTCACGTATCTCCTCAAAGAATCATGCGAGGAAGATGGTAAGCCACTACCGTAATGATCGAAGAAGATTCTCGCATCCGTCTGATGACCGTATGACGATACATTCGATGCGTCGCTATACCTCTCTCGATCGACCGGCGATTTCCTCGAGGACACCTCGTCGTCGCCGTACAAAATATAATTTTTGTCCTTCTCCCTACGAAATATTTTAAATAACCAACAACGGTAGAGGAATCTTTCGTTCGTGAAGCTACGAATTGTGAAAACATGGCTCGATTTGCTTTTCTTATTATGTTTAGTTGTGGATCGCGACATTTAATTAATTTTTGTAAGCAAAAAGTCAGAAAGAGAAGCAAATCTCGTAGAGTGAATTTACCTCGTCCTAGTAACTCCATAATTGTACAATCTGTCGCGTTCCCTTTCTCTAGAACTGTTGAAGCTGAACCTTCTAGGCAGAGTGACGCTGTTCACTCCCGGTGGCGGCGCCGTCAAGGATGGCCTCTTACGATCATTGAATCTCGAGTAAAAGCTGCGTCTTCGTATTCGATCTATCACCGATTCCGAGCTGTCGGAGCCACGCATAAATAGAGAGTATGATGGTGATGTGGGCGAATGCAAATCGCTGCGATTGTGATTCAGATCGGCCGAACAGATCGACCAGGAATCGAAACTCTCGGGTTCCTCGGGCGAAAACATCTCGCTGGTGCAATCATCCGGCTCTTTAATCACTTCTTTAGTTATGTCATTAATCCCTTCAGAAGGATTCAGCTTGATCTCTTTCGGTTCGTTCGAGGCGGATGTATGATCGACGGTTCGCTGATTGGAATGATCATCTCGCGACTCCACGTGATTCTCTATGATCCTGGCACATTCGGTGACCTCTCGCTTCAGCTCGGCAACATCTTTCGCTCGTAAAGGCTTATCGATGATTATCTTGTTGCCGGTAATGTTAGCGTGATGCGTCATCTTGGATAGACGCTCCATCAATTTGTCGGAACCACTCTCTGCCACAGGGTCGTCCATTTTAGGCGATCCGATAGAAACGGCAGGTTTCGTTTTCGGTGAACTACATTCAGGCGAATCTTTCTTGGGAGTCGCGTGTCTAAACGTGTGTTGGGGTATCTTAGATAGATCGAGTTTCAAATTCGCTCTATTCGGCCGACATTGTTCCAACGTTTGTTGCTTCGATTGACAGATATTAAAATTCGAATCGATCCGAGCTGTAGAACTCGAGGAGCCTATAGGAGGCAAAGAGCTCAAAATGCTTTGAGAATTTGATGTGTTTCCAAGAGTGGAATTCGCCTGCGAGACATCGGTAGACGATACGTTTACATCGAATTTATCTGTTCCTTTAACATCAGTTTTTATCTGATTTGCATTTTTCATAGCATCCCTAGACTTCGCTGGCAAATCCGATTCTGCCTGTTTCACAGGCATGCAGGATGATTTCGCGGTAATCTGATCATCAGTTTGATCATTTCTTTCGATTGAACCTTCCGGCATGACGTTCGGACCTTCAGGACTCTTCTCTTTTTTCGTCGTCACGGTTTTCTTCTTCGTCAGTAGTTTTGATGACTTTCCCTTCTCATCAGACTTGCTTTCGGAACTGTCGGATTTCTTAACGACTTTCTTCACGACACGCACTATTTTCTTCTTCCTAGAATCGTTGGTTTCATCTTTACTCGCGTTTTCTTTCGACTTAACTAGCTTCTTAATCTTATTCTTATCAACATCCTCGTCTTTGTCGATCTTCGTGACCGACTCATTTTTGCCTACTAGAGAATTAATGTTTCTTTTGGTTTTAATCAGTTTCTTATCTTCATTATTGATAATGGGTGCCACATGGGTGTGCTTATCGTCCACGACTCTACGCAAAAGTTCCGATGATTGGTCTGACGATTTTTTCAGTGAATCCACTTTATCTAGCTTCATTCTATCCACGGATGACGACGCCGAGGAGTCTGAGGAAGGCGCGGGTCTTTTAACTTCCCTCGATTGTTTTTCCACGAAAGGTTTCCTTTCCTTAGCGGTCAATTCCTTCTCTTTCGATTTCTCCTTGGACGGCGATCTTTTGCACATTTCACTCATTATCTTCTCCGGCGATCTCTTGTTCTCCGGTAACTTTTTCGTCGATTTATTGTCGGTCCTAGTGAATTTCGTCGGTATTTTGCTCGTCCCAGTTACATCTTCCTCTAAAGACGACTCGGCCGATTTGACGCATTTGGGCGGGCTTCTTTTCAATTTACTCATAATTGCGTTCTGTGTCCGGTTGCTACCGTTCGCGTTTCGCTTGGTCGTATCTGTGTTCGTCTTGAATAGTCCCAATACTGACGTCACGCGTCCTTTCGAGCTTGGCACATTCTTGACGTCTTTATTTGATCCTTCACGACGCGAAAGATTCTCCACGCTCAGCGTTTTCTTCACCTCGAGCAAACTCGATCCCGCAGAGTCCGCGGGTGAAAACTCGATAGGCGGCGCAGAGCACTCGCGCAATCCACGTTCCTTCATCGAGCTGCCATTTATCGTCGGCTTCGCGACCATGCTCGTCGTCTCGTCATTCGAGCGCAACCTTTCTAATTTTTTCTCCAATGAATGCAGAAAACTGCTCTTCGAGCCTTGTTCGACTTTGACTCTCTCTTTGTCCTCCTTGTTGGTCTTGTCCTCGAAAGCGAACGAGGAAGAGGAAGAAGCGGCCACAACGGCACCGTCTAGCTTATCTTTCTGCAGCGTATTTATTTCATTCTTCTGTTCCTTGCAGATCTTCTCGTCCCTTGAATCATCCTCTTTGCGATCTTTGCTCTCGCTTTTTCGCCTCATGAATCGCGATTTTCGACGCTCATTCTCCGCCGCTTTCTGCGCTTCTTTCTCCTTCACGTACTGACTCTCCTCTCGCGGCGTGTCGAAAAAGTCCGGTCGCAAGAAACGCGAGATACGATGCTGTTTCGATTTTTCGCTTTTGTTGTCCTTCGGTTCGGTCTCCTTATCGGTGCCACTGCCACTGCCTCTGAAAAGTTTGCTTAGGATCGATCTTTCCTGATTAACGCCTCCGGCCGATACGTCAGCTGGGCCAGCGAACGATTTCACGCTCGACTCTCTGGTCAACGAACCTGAACGTAATCTCAGACTCGGGATGCAACTGCGTCTCTTGGACGTGCCGGAATTTGCTGCCGACAATGGATCTGAAGTGGTCATTAAAGTTTCCTTGTCGCACTTGTCCATATCTTTGTAATTACAGCTGAGATTTGGATTGAATTGCTGCGACGTCAAGTTCTTTAATTTTGATTCCTTGATTAAATTTTCTGCCGCCATCAATCGGTTCTCGAAACTCTTGGAGATGTCTGACTTACAAATCGACTTACCATAATCACCTAGATTCGATGAGGATTCCGTGGGTGAGATCTCGCAGGATTTGGCTGATACGCTCGAGGTAGTGACGCCAGTGGTATTTTCCATCGAATTAGTATTAGAGTTGCACACAGACATCGATGTACCTTCCGATATAGAGCCGTTCTCCGTCATGTTATCAATTTCCTCTTTGCAAACGGACAAGTATGTGTCGTCGCCGGGCTCTTCCTGGATCTTGTCTGTTCTGTAACCGTGAAAGCTATCTCGTCTCGCGTTACCAATGACACTCGATCTAATTGAGTCTTTGTACTTGCGACCCAGCGTCATTATGTGTTTCGGTAGAGGCGGCAATAGCTTGTTATCGCAGTCGTCATCGTCGTCGTCGTCAAACAGGCTGATGCTTCTTCGCGGTGAATACCGTTCCGACTTATCATACTTGCACGGCTCTAGCAAGCTGTTGGTTCTCCTAATACCTCGATCGAGCGATCTACCTCTATATTCGGTCCGATCAGAAGTCGTGGACGTGGAATATCGTTTT